CAGGCAGAATTACCCTGTTAAGACCTTGATTAAACCCCATAAGATTATTTCAAATTTGTAACTTCCAGGGGCACCTGGGTGGCTCAGTGGGTTAAGCCACTGCCTTTGGCTCAGGTCATGATCTCAGGGTCCTGGGATCGAGCCCCGCATCAGGCTCTCTGCTCAGTAGGGAGCCTGCTTCCCCCTGCCACCCCGCCTGCTGCTCTGCCTACCTGTGATCTCTCTCTCTCTGTCAAATAAAGAAATAAAAATCTTTAAAAAACTTTATAACTTCCAGCATTGTAAGAGAATAAACTTTTGTTGTTTAAGCCATGAACTTTGTGGTACTTTGTTACAGCAACAATAAAAAATTAATACAGAGAGTATACATGTATGTTTGTGACTCTTATTTGATTTAAAGGAAAACTACATAAAAACAATAATTATAAAACAGGGTTTATGGGTATACAATGGATAAATGTGTAGTTTCTATGACAATAATAGCACAAAAGAGGAAGGAGGGAATGGAGATGTATTAGAACAAACTTTTTAATAGTATTGAAGTTAAGTTAGAATTGGCAAAATTAGATTGTCTTAAGATGTTAATTTTAATCCCTAGGGCAACCACTAAGAAAATAATTTTTTAAATCTTCTTAAAAAACAACAAGAGAATTAAAATGGCATACTAAAAATGTCTTTTAAAAAGAATGCAATAGTGGAGAAATAAAGGAGCAAAAAAGATAATAGGCATATAGAAAACAAATAATAAAATGGCAGATGTAAATCCTACCTTACCCATGATTACATTAAATACAAATTAATCCAACTCCATACTATCTACAAGAGAAAGACTTTTAGATTCAAAGAAATAAACAGAATGAAAGTTAAAAGATGGAAAAATATATACCATGAGAAGGGTATTTTAATATCAGGCAAAATAGACTTTGGGACAAAAATGTTATCAGAGAACAAGAAAGGTATTTCATAATGACAAGGTCAACTCATCAAGAATATATTAAAACATATGTAAACATACATAAATGTCAAAATACATGAAGCAAAAACTGCCAGAAAAAAAAGGGAAGAAACAGACAATTTGATTATAGTAACTAGAGACTTCAAAATGACACTTTAAAAACTTGATGGAACAAGTAGGAAGAATATCAATAAGAAAATAAGACAGTTGGGCACTTGGGTGGCTCAGTCGGTTAAGCATCTGCCTTCAGCTCAGGTCATTATCCCAGGGTCCTGGAATTGTCCCACATTGGGCTCCCTGCTCAGACGGGAGTCAGCTTCTCCCTCTGCCCCTCCCTCTCCACCCCATACTCGTGCTCGCTCACTCTCTCTTGAGAAGTAAATAAATAAAATCTTTTTTAAAAAAAGAAAAGACAGTTGAATAAAATCAAACCAGCTAGAATAACAGACATCTATAAAATACTCCAAGCAGCTTCAAAATACATATTCTATCCAACTTTCTCTTGGATAGACCATATAGTAGGCGATAATAAAATACCATATATAAATTTATAAGGATTGAAATCATACAAATAATATTTTCTGACAATAATGGAATTAAGTTAGTAATTGAAAGCATAAGGAAATCTGAAAAATCTACAAACATGTATAAATTAAACAGTGTATTTTCATTTAGTCAGAAGAAATCATGAGAGAAATTAGAAACTACTTTGAGATGAATAAAAATGAAAACACAACAAACCGTAACTTTTGGGATATAGTTAAGCAGTGCTTTGAGGGACTATTATAGATGTAAATCCTTATATTAAGAAGATGAAAATCTCAAATCAATAATTTAAATTCTCACCTTAAAGCACTAGAAAAAATTGCTTAAAAAAATCATAAGGAAGGAAATAGTAAAGATTAGAGTGGAAATAAATGAAATAGAGAATAGTAAAACAATAGAGAATATCACTAAAACCAAAAGTTGGTTCTTTGAAAATACAAGGGAAAAAAAACTGACAATGCTATAACTAGACCTACCAAGAAAAAAAAAGGATAAGGATTCAAATTATTAAAATCAGGAATGAAAGAGGGGACATGACTCTTAACTCTAAAGGTTTACAAAGGATTATACAGTAATACCATGAACAGCTGTGTGACAGTAAGTAAGACAAGATAGATGAAAGGGACAAATTCCAATAAAGACACAAACTACCAACACTAACAAATAGAAATAGAAAGAAAAGTAAACTTACTGAAAATGGCAATGGAATTCTGAGACTTGATCCCTCTCCTAAAAGCAACTAATAAACTGGCAAAAAGTATCAGAATCAACTTTTGTAGAACTCTGGAATCTACTAAAATAAAAATTATAACAATCAGGGGAAATTTAGTGAAATTTCTACTACTCCTCTGTGGTAAGAAATTTTAAATTGTTTACCTACCATCCACCATGCCCCAGATTTTCAACAGTCTGTACATGGCAGCTTAATATCCTGATTTAGATTGCTAGCCCCTAAGGGAAGAATTCAGATTCTATTCTTATAGAATTGTGGTTGTGAGTCTTAGTCTACCTGGCAGTTCTCTCAAGGACCAGCACAAAAACTTCCATTTGTCACATGAGACAGAGCATTCCTCGGACTGGGACTGGGGCAGCTTCCTGGGTAACTTTTGCCAAAAGCATTTAAGGTCATAGGTATTGACCAAAGCAGCCTGGGGCAAGGAACAACATTTAGAATAAAAAATAGACAGAAGGGTTTGAGGAGGTGGGTGGGTGGGAGGTTGGGGGAACCAGGTGGTGGGTATTAGAGAGGGCACGGATTGCATGGAGCACTGGGTGTGGTACAAAAACAATGAATACTGTTATGCTGAAAATAAATTTTAAAAATGATTAAAAAAATAGACAGACTGACAAGTATAAGTATGAGAAGCTGGGGAAAAGACATACATGGAGAAACAAGCACTTTTAAAAACTTTATATAAAAGAAATCAAATACTATATGTCCATACCAAGATTGGAAACATGCTCAGCAAAGGCCAGAGAAGACCCTAAATGTTCACCTTGGGCTGGTCTTAAGGTCTGAAAAAGCAGAAAGTAAAGCATTAAAAATATCTCAACTTGGAGCTCATCTGCAAAGACTGGGAAAGCATTTTTCTTCTGTTGGCTCTAGACATTTAAAGTAACTCTGTCCAAATACCAGTTGATTACTGAGCTAATCTGGCACAGATTTCAGTGACCTCACATGACAAAGAATACAGAATTTACAAAAAGTACTTTTAAAAGTCAACAAACAAAGAAACAACCAACAACAAAGAACAACAACAAAACCTGGAAAGTGAGAGGATCTAATTTACAGAATTGACATTTTCTAATATACAAAATGTCCAAATTCCAGCACAGATTGTAAGGTATATGAAGAAACAAGAAATTATGGTCTATTTCTAGGAAAGGAAAAAATTATTAGACTGAGTATAAAAAAGTTCATGTATTAGACAAACTAGAAAAAAGTTTTAGATCAACTTTCTTAAATATGCTCAAAGAGCTAAAGGAAGCCATGGACAAAGGACTAAGGATATGAGGGAAAAAATGCCTCAGCAAATACAAACTATCAGCGGAGAGATAGAATATAGAGATAGAAATTATAAAAAGGAACAAAATAGAAATTCTGGAGTGAAAATAACTGAAGTAAAAAGCTCACTAGAGGGGTTTGACAGCATATTTGAGCATGTAGAAGAAAGAATCAGTTACTCTGAAGATAGATGAATTGAGATTATCCAGTCTGAGGAGCAAAAAGTAAAAATAATGAGAAAAAATTAACAAAACCTAAAAGAAACAGGAGAAACAATGAAGCATATTTAAATTATGCATGATAGGAATCTCAGAAGGAGAAAAGAGATAGAAACAAGAAGACAGAATTTTTGAACAAATAAAAGCTAAAAATTATTCATAAGGAGATACACTAATCTATGTATTCAAGAAGTTCAGTTATTTCCAATTAGGATAAACATGATCCAAATCAAGACATATTATAGTCACATTGTCAAAATCAAGTATATGCTGTTACACTGTAACAACTATAGTTTTGGCAATTTTCTAGTTTTTGAGTTGGGTGGTGATTTCACAGTATGAAAGAGGAAAGGGAAGGGAAGGGGAATAAAGGGGAGGAAAGGAAAGAAAAGAGGGACAAAAGGTAGATGCTAAGACTGTGTAGTAGACAAAGGATTATGATAAATCAGTTCATCTATGACACATTTTAAAAAATACTTTAATGCTTTCTTTTTTAGCTGTCTGACATTCTACATGAGAACCGGTCCAATATTGGAGCGCAAGTTTCAAGTGTGAAGAGAAGTGAACAGAGAAGGTGAGAGGAAGTAGCAGAAAAAAGGTTGGGGTGTAAGGATTTTTAGGTCCCTCAGGGACATTCAAGCAGTGGTATCCAATAGACAGTTGGCAAAGAGGGTCTGGGGCTAAGGGGAGGGAACAGCCTGGAGATGGAGCTTTGAGAATCATCTGTGCTTGGGGGAAATGAACAGAAATCATTCAGGGAGAGAGAACATGGGTACAGAGAAGAGGTCCAGGAACACAGCTGCTCAAGGTGGCAGTGCCGCTTCCTGGCGGTACTACTGTCTGGGCTCTGGAGTCAGGCAGAGCGGGTCTTGAAAGCAGCCTGTGGGACTCAGGTGTTGAGCGCTCCTGGCAAAGTCGGGTACCGTCCCTGTGATCAGCGGTCACACCTGGCAATGACGTATATCGCAGAGGGATGCAGTGCGAGGGCCTGAGATGCGCCAGGTAAAGCACCTGCGGTCTGGAAGCCTCCAGGCTCCTGCTCTCTCCTTGATTCCCCCTTTGCCACGCCGCCCCCCACCGTGTGTGGTTGCTTGGTGCCTTGGGGATGGGGGTAAGGGGGGCGGGGTGGGGGACCGAGCTCGGTGACGCGGCGCTCACGTGACTGGCTGGGCGCCGACGTGGGCAGCAGCCCCCGCGCCCGCCCGTTCGCCGGCCCTGCGGTCGCGTCCCTGCGCCCTCCGCTCCCGTCGCCCGCGCGGAACCAGCTCCCTGAGCTGCCCGGGCGGCGGGCGAGGGGTGAGCGGGCTTCGGCGAGCCCGAGGAGGCGCAGGCCTGCCCCGGGCCCCGCAGGTCAGTGTGAAGGTGGGCGCTGCCGGCGGCCCCGGTCAGAGGTGGATGGGAGTAGGATCCCGGAGCAGCGCGGAGTGGGATGGGGGTCCAGGAGGTCGGTGAGGAGGGGGGATGCAGCGTGGACGTGGGCAGGTGGGGAGGGAGCACCCCACCGCCGCCTCCTCGACGCCCCTCCTCCGCGCCCTCCATCCATTTTTGGACCTGAAATGCGGGGAGGTGCCCCCGCAGTGCGACAGTGAAATGTAGACATATTCTAGAAATAACCCTCTCTCACACTCTGTACCTAACAGGAAATACTGACCTCCGCGGAAAAGGGGAGAGGGTGGGCGGCATGCCTGCAGCGGAGGAGGACACAGACACCCAAACCATTTGGAAAGCATCCTGGTCTGGAGTCTGAGGCCTGAAAATTAATGGCGGCTGGGATGTGGGGGAGATAGGAGAGGGAAATGTTGCTTGAACAGGACTCAGATTCAGGAAAGAAACTTAAGTAGGCTGAGTGCACAGGCCCTCTCCTGTCTCCTGTCTGTCTGCAGGTCTGTGTGTCTGTCCCCAGCACTCTGCAAGGCTAGAAAAGGAGGAGGAACCTGTCCAGAATCTCTGCAGGTTAGTAAAAGGGGGAGACCATTGGACAGGAACGGGGGGAGGGTGTGGAGGGCACAGTTTGGGCAGAATTTGAGGACCCCATTGCCTATCCTCCATACCACATATATTGTGCCCACCCCACCACGCTGAAGGATGGTATAGAAGGTGGTAGGGGCTGCCAGGGAAATGGTTGGCTCTCACATGTGGGATGAATTGTGGGGTAAGGGGTGGGCTGAAGACACTTGGAGGGCTTGGGAAGTCAGAGGAACCCAGCCAAGGGGAAGAATGCCAGTAATATCAGCATCTGCCTTCCACCTCCAAGTCCTCAGTCTCCCTTGTCTCCTTTGTTTTTTCTTCCCCTTCCCATCCCACCCCTCCCCCCACCCCTGCCCCAGGACAAGGAAAAGAAGGGAAAATTCAACATGGAAAAACTCTACAATGAAAGTGAAGGAAAGCTGGAAATTGAGGGAAAGCCTGAAGATGAAGTAGAGCCTGAAGATGAAGGAAAATCAGATGAGGAAGAAAAGCTGGAAATGGAAGGGAAGCCAGGGCATGAGGGAAAGCTCCAGAATAAGGGACAACCAGATAATGGGGGACAACCAGAAGATGAGGGAAAGCAAGAAAAGCAGGGCATGTCCAACAATGAGGGAAAAGCACACGGTGAGGGCAAGCCAAAATCCCTGGCAAAGGCTGAGAGTGAACCACGGGCTGCCGAAAAGCGCCCAGCTGAAGATTACGTGCCCAGGAAAGCAAAAAGAAAAACAGACAGGGGGACAGATGATTCCCCCAAGGACTATCAGGAGGACTTACAGGAAAGGCACTTGGGCAGTGAGGAGATGGTGAGAGAATGTGGAGATATGTCAAGGGCTCAGGAAGAGCTAAGAAAAAAACAGAAAATGGGTGGTTTTCACTGGATGCAAAGAGATGTACAAGATCCATTTGCCCCAAGGGGGCAGCGGGGTGTCAGGGGCGTGAGGGGCGGAGGTAGGGGCCAAAGAGGCTTACATGATATCCCATATCTTTAATGCCTTTGGCCTTCAATTTTGTTTTCTCTGATGAGAATATTGCTGATGCTGCTTTCCCTGGTAGGCATTTGCCAGGCTATGTGCTTTAACCTTAAGCTGATATTTTGTTTTAGGTGTCACTCTTGTTACCAGCAGCCTTTTGATCCAGCTATAATGCTCTCTGCCATTCAGTAGAGAATTTTCATCCATGTGCATGGAAAAGATGTTCATGGTACATTACAAAAATAATAAAGATAAAATAATTTCAGAACCGCATATGCAGTATCAGCCCATTTTTGTAAAAATATAATACTTGCATAATGCATTTCTGCACAGAGAAAACTCTGAAAGTGTGTTACACTAAAAAGTGGGCAGTGGTTTTTCCTGCATGATAGCCAGAATAGGTCTCACCCATACTCAGAAATGAGTTCAATCACCTCATGGTTAGGTACTTCCATGGCATTCTTCTGCAGGCGTGCCCAACCGCATATCTTCCCCTAGTTGTAACCATGTCCATAAGCACTGCTGCTCCTTTTGGGTCCTGTACCATCCTATGGCTTCCACCATGGTGTGATTCTTTTTTGGTCACTCATCTCTTTTTCCTAAATATATGAATTATGTTTGTCATAATTTAAAAATAACTAAAAGCTGAAAAGAATACATGGTAAATGATTTAACTGTTCTGTGAGTTTAAGAGGGCAGTGAAGACAAAATTCCTGTTGTCAGAACATGAAAAAATAGGTAAAACTCACATTTTCTAGGACTAATAGCTAGAGGAATCAACCTGACAGTTATACCACACCTACTGCTGTAAGCGTCAATGTTGTTATCTGTAAAATGGGGATATTACTTGCTTTATGGACCTGCCAAGTGGATCAAATGAGGTACTGAGTTATGTGAGCTCTGTTGTAACCCAGCCTCTATCAGATACTTGTGTGTGGGGGGTTGGTGGTGATGGTATGGCTCCCACACTATTCCCATGCAGCAGCAGGTATATGGATGGAATTCAGACACTTGGAGCAGGACTGAAGGAGGTCTCATCTGTGCCCAGTAACAAGTCTAGGCAGCTAGAAGATGAATGCCATTGTCTCCTGGATATGTCCATGTCTGCTGGGCACTGTGCCCTTGCTCCTGGGTTCTGTACTTATTACTGATACTATCTAATGATCTGGAGGCCTTAAGGTGCCAAAGCCCTATCAATTTCTCTAGAGCCAATGCCCACCCATCCTTGACCCTTATAGAAGTGTGAACAAAGCTCTTTTCTCACTTGAGTTATAGTTATTCAGTTACCTGTGAGTATCCCACTAGTGTTACTTGCAAAATGATAATTTATGTGTATTTTTTCAGTTTGTGCATTTTTGCATACATGAATATCCTCATCAAATTCAGATATTACAGGCTAGAGGAGGAAAAAATATCTGTGATAAAGTTGTGCTGGGGTGTGTGGGTGACTCACTTGGTTAAGTGTCTGACTTTGGCTCAGGTCATGATCTCAGGGTCCTGGAATAGAACCCCATGTTGAGTTCAGGGCTCAGTGGGAAGACTGTTTGTCCCTCTGCCTCTCCCCCAACTTATGCTCTTTCTCCCTCAAATAAATAAATAAGTAAAATCTTTTTTTTTTTTTTAAGTTGCACTATTCTTATAGGTTAATATCTGCAAACTCTCTCCTAGGTGGAGTTCTCTCCCAGGAAACTTGTCAGACCCCACTTTAGCAGTTCAGTCAACACTTAAACATATCTGATTTTTAGATCTTTATTAGTGAACATGTGGTGCATGGAGCAGCTCATCAGTATCACTTGAGAGTTAATTAGAAATGCAGAATCTCAGGCCCTACCTCAGAACTACTGAGTTAGGATCATTTTAACAAGATTCCCAGATGATTCCTGTGCACATTTAAGTTTGAGAACAAGTGGCTTAGATGGAGACTCTTTTCAGGTTCTCCACTCCCACCTTCCCATCAAATATGTACCTGAAAATATAAATATATGTACCATATAAGATACACACTCTCCCATGAATTAATAGGTCTTGAAATTAATTCAGTGGATCAAGACTTGCAAATTGTTAAGGAAATAAGATAAAATAAAGGCAAATAGAGAATATCACATTGCAGGTATGGTGAATATTATATGACATTTGTATTTCAGATGTTTGTGTGTATGTGTGTGTGTGTAACATAAGTTGTGATACAAAAATATATTTCTCACTGTGGGCTGTGGTTTTTATTTATTTTTTTTTAAAGATTTTATTTATTTGTCAGAGAGAGAGAGGGAGAGAGAGCGAGCACAGGCAGACAGAATGGCAGGCAGAGGCAGAGGGAGAAGCAGGCTCCCTGATGAGCAAGGAGCCCGATGTGGGACGCGATCCCAGGACGCTGGGATCATGACCTGAGCCGAAGGCAGCTGCTTAACCAACTGAGCCACCCAGGCGTCCCTGGGCTGTGGTTTTTAAAAACTGAGAAATACTTTTTTGGATTCTTTGCATCTCAAAACATATCCAGCCCATTTTATATTTGTATATCTAGTGCCCAACACAGTACCCGACAAATAGTAGGTATTTAATAAAAGCATAAATAATAAGGACTAATTTGGGAACCTTAAGTTTTTCCCGAAGTTTAGCCCTTATCTACATAATTAACTTTGGAAAAATAATTTTAATTGTCTAACAGGTTTTACCAGCACCAAGGAGAACTCCTTGGCTGGAGTGGAACTTCTCAACCCCAGGAAGACAGGCTCTGTAAAGTGAAATTAAACAACTGTGATATCTGTGCTGTAAAAAGTTCCAGTGGAAGACTGTATGTCACAGGAGCACAGTGTCATAAAGGAACAGTATGCTTGCCAGGGTGGGAAGCCAGGATAAGGAGCTGCCATGGAGGGATAACAGTTGATTTACCTGCAGGTGATCTTTCTCCGGTTAGCCTGTGGGAATCAGGACCTTAGATTTTAGAGACAATGTATATCATACTGGCTTTGTGGTTGGACTCCATATGGTTTCCAATTTTAAGTGATACCCAGAGAAAGGAAAAGTACTACAGCAGGTCCGGGCTATAGTGCTAGTTTCTCTGACACTTCAGTCTCATGACCCTGAAGACCCAATTTTATTATATCCTTGCTATACAGAGTCTATGTAGCCTTAAAAATCCCCAATAATAGAATTAAAAAACATACTCCTAGGGTTTTTGAACAAACCATGCCCTCTTCTTTCAGCAGTTAGTATCCATTTGAGAAGGTGCTCACTTGGGCTTGCTACAAGACCCTGGTAGAGACTTAACACTTGGCCATGAAGTATTTAATTTTCTGTATGAATGAGACACCCATTATGAGCTTGTTTCTATTTACCCTGTTAAATAGTAAAGTTTTGTGTGAGCACTGGCAAATGGATTAAAAAACTGGACTTGGGTACATCAAAGTGGCACAAGTAAATTATGTCATACTTATTCCTGCTATTTCATTGTCTCTATCCCTCCACCATTATGTATGGCCTCATAACCAGTTAGAAGAAAGGTAAAACAATCATCAAGTTTGTCAATGTATCTTCTTGGTATGTTGACAATAGATGTAAATGGATGTCTAAGGAATGACTTGGAAAAACACTGGGCAAGAAACATGCTGCCAGGGGCGCCTGGGTGGCTCAGTGGGTTAAAGCCTCTGCCTTTCATTCGGGTCATGATCCCGGGGTCCTGGGATCGAGCCCCACATCAGGCTCTCTGCTCAGCGGGGGGCTTGCTTCCCTTCCTCTCTCTGCCTGCCTCTCTGCCTATCTGTGATCTCTGTCTGTCAAAAAAAAAAAAAAGAAAAGAAAAGAAAAAGAAACATGCTGCCAGTAAGTAGAATGCTATGTGGTTAATATGGGTCTTTGTATACAACTCTTCATAGATGTAGGTATGGATCTATTCTGACCCATATGCAATGATGAAAAGGTTGGTCAAGGATTTTGGAAAGAATTAAATTGGAAAATTATTAACAGTGCAGATTTTGTGTCCCATGATATAATAATTTGCTATTGCACAACAAATTACCACACACTGAGGTTAACCAAACATTCATTTATTAGTTCACACATCTGTAGACCAGAGGTCTTGCACTGCATGATTATGCTTTCTGTTCAGGGTCTCACAAGGCTGACATCAAGGTGTTTTCAGAATTCAGTTCCTTGCAGCTGTAGGACTGTGATACTGCATATTTTTTACTGGCTATCAGCTGAGCTCTTTTCAGCTTATAATATCTTGCATTCTTTACCACAAGGCTCACTCCATTTTCAAGCCAGCAATAGTGCATTGACTCTTTCTCGTGCTTCTAATCTCTGATTTCTCTGTACCTGACTGTAGACCACTATTTAAAGGGATAATGTGGGGTGCCTGGGTGGAATCATATGACCCTTGATTTTGGCTCAGGTCATGATCTCAGGATTGTGAGATTAAGTCTAGCATTGCTCTCTGCACTGGGCATGAAGACTGCTTAAGATTTTCTCTCTCCCTCCCCTTCCCTCTCTCCCTCTCTAAAAAAAAGTAGGGTGGATGGTGTGATTAGGTCAGGGCCACCTAGATAATTTTCTCATGTTAAAATCAACTGATTTAAGACCCTAATTCTATCTACAGATGGCTTCACAGAAACACGTGGATTAGTGTTTGATTAAATAACTGGAAGAAGGTATATATGTAATGCCAGTTGGCAATGTGGTAGGCAATCTTAAAATTCTGCTCCACAGTCCACCTTCTGATTCCTGAAGATTCATTTCCTTCCCAAATGCAAAACATATTCACCTCCCAAGGTTAACATATTCACCTTCCCCCAAGGTTCACAAGAACTCCATCTCATTACAGCATTAGCTCAAAAGTCAAAATCTCATCATCTAAATCATCTAAACCAGATGTGTATGAGGACCCTAAGCATAATCCACTAAGTACAGTTCCTGAAGATATTCCTCTCCATCTGAAACTCCATGGGTCCATACATTAAGTGTGATGGTAACCAAGTTAGATACTATGACTGGGATCCAAAACATTGCCTTCCTATTACAAA